TCCATCAGCACAGAGTCACAAAGCCCCATAGCCCCAGCAGCAGCAGGAGCAGCCGAGATACATCCGCACGCGTGGAGCCGTCACCTGCACGCTGCTCAGACGCATTGGAGTCGTCAATCCTTTTGAGTTCCATGGCATCCAGTTGGCGGTTGTACAAAAAGACGTTCTTTATTGTCACACTGCTGTTTTTACCGCCACCAAAGTAAAAATGAGAGATATCATGCCTCCGTGACTTAAGGGTTGGTAGTTTGTTAGTATTCCCCACAAGCACGCCGTTGACGTACACGGAGCCCTTGTTGCTGTGCAGCATGAGCGCCACTTTGTACTCCTTCCCCGGCTTCCAAGTGCTGTTGCGTATTATTCTCGTGATACCGTCGAAGACTGTACCCCACTCGTTCGCCGGCGTGTACAACAGCCCCACAAACTTTGTGTTTTCATTGTCCTCCAGGCCCGCGCCCAGCAGAGGAGCATTCTCCTTCGGAACCTCATGAATCGTCACCGTCGCCACAAGCGTGAACTCGTAATTCACAACGCTGTGCACATAGTGATGCGCCCACATGTTCACAGGCCACATGGCGTATGATTCCGACCCCGTGAACTTAAAGTCATCTTCGACCTTCGTTGCATTCGTCACAGTTGCATTCAAGCAACGGCACGCATCGTTCCAAGTTCCTTCACCCGATGCATCCGACAAGAACCCAACCAGACCGGCCGTGGGCACCGACAACTCGGAGAGGTAGGAGTCCAGTTTTGCCTAAGTCTCCAAGACGGACGTGATCGTCTTCAGCTGTTCCGTTAGGGGAGCAAGAAACAGGCTGCTTGCCCTCAAAGCGCCCCTCTCTTGTAAAAAGTACAACGCATTTTTCTAATAGAGCAGGGTGTTGTTAGACGTCGGTGTCGTGTCAGTGTCCATGGAAATGGGCCCGACGTGAAACGTGTGGTTGTTGTCAGCAACCCAAAGGTAGAGCACGGTGGCTTGCAACGGGTCATCACGGAGAAACCCTTTCTGAGTGTACAGCATAACCTTCTTTCCAGCAATGGTCGCAGTGGTGAGGGACCCCACTCCCACAGCTGTTTGCAAAGAGTTCGGAAAAACCCTGGGATGCACGCGTGTGAGTGTCCTGACAGCCTCCCTCCACATTGCCCCCATGTCCCTCGACTCAAACACATTGGAGAGCAAATTGCATTTGACAATCATGACAAGCTGCCCCTGCTCCCACTCAACGATGGGGGGGTCAGTGCACCCCACGGGGAGCATCCCATGTGGAAGCACCCAATTTTTGCCGTCGTCCTTCGAATAAATGATCATGGACACAGTTTCGTTGTCTCCTGTCCTCCTCGCCGTCACAGGAAACACGAACGTGCCATCCTCCATCACAACGCCTGAGCCACCACCACCAATAAACTGGTCCACGCCACTTTGATTAGCAGATGGTTTGATCTGTGGTGCAAGCGAGGTGGGTTCGCCCCATTGAATGACTTTATCTTGCGTGGCCTCACCCACGAGCAAATCAAGACCCTGTGAGGATTCAATCCACTTCTTCAATGAAGGATCATACTTCTGATGATAGCCCCCCACAAGTAGAAAAACCTTGTTGCCCTTTGTAATTGTTGTGGGTCGGACCGCATATCCCACACGGTCGTTATGCTCCTCCTGCGTGGTTGTGTTAAAGATGTTGTACGCCTTCCATTTATTTGCACTGAGCTCAGCGACAACGCACGACCAGTTCTCCGCAGGGTCAATGTACCCCGCCACAACATCAGCATAAACCACAGTAGTAATTCCCTTATCGGGGTATACGGGCCTGGCCCGGCTCTTGGCAAGTGCAACCAAACCTCCACCAGCACTGGCGAGGAAAGGTGAGACAAAGAAGACCCTAGTTCCACGGCGAGTACGTGTTCCCTCAATGGCTCGACTTAGCACAAAAAGATCAACAACCTCTGGTGTTTGTGCCTCCTTTGGCGTATTTCCCCCTCGGCGTGCACAGCCGCACCGCCGCAGCACACCAACAGCACGCAGAGAAGGATCAGCAGCGAATAGAAAAACATGTGCCGGGACATCTTGGGCATGTATTGCTGCTCACCCACTCACCCGCAGTCTCCCTTCGTTCCTTGCGGTGGGCCCGCCCAGGCCGCAGCGATCGTGCGTGTGATGTGCTACTGCGGGGCCCACCCGCTCGCACAGCAGCAAGCAGCGTTTGGCTTCTCGCCCTCCACGAGCACGCTTCCCGTTCTTGCACATGCATCGGGGGTTAATATCAAAAGTATATAAAAAAAACACACCACCGCATGCTGCTGAAAGGTGAAGAAAGGGGCGTGCGCACCGTCGGGGCGGCGGGGGTGGTCCCCACCCGCCGCCACTTTCACCGACATTCCCTGTCGACTAGAACCCTAACCGGCCCCCATAAAACAAAAAACGTTACGGGGGGGTGTTTTGGAAATCTGCTATAACTGTGTAGGGGGTTTCCGCGCGTTGAAGCCCCTGCCGCGCTTCGTGGCGCCCCTTGGGCGGGCGACGCGTTCGCGCAGGTGCCCAGGCGCGCCTTCGTTGGTGATGCCGCGCGGGTGCGGCTACTTCGCGCG